TGTTGAATTACATGTTGGTTTTGGCTGCCTTCTTGCCCCATCGGCAGCAGCTGCCTCAGAGACAGCCCAGCCCATAAAGCTGAAAATATTTACTATCTGGTTCTGGACAGGAAAACAGTTGCCATCTCCTGACCTAGGGCAGAAATATCCAAACAGCCTGGGGGACAGTGATGCCTGTCCTCCTGGGTATCCAGCCCCCAAATGACTCCCAATTTCTTCCCATCCATTATTTAATTTAAAATTTTGTTTCAGCTTCTAAATGAGTAGTAAATTTCATGTGGTTCAAGTCAAAATTGAATCAATACAAAAAGTCCTGTTTCTCGCCTCCCGGACAAACACATGTTCCAAGAAACGCCAAGCCTGAAGACAAATGAATGTAAGTCTGAAATTATCAGAGGCCCAAGGAAGGCTCTGGAATCTCTCAGAGCAAATATAAACCTCCCCAGACCAGAGCATTATTGTCTCTGAATGTTTGTGACCTTCCAGAGATGCTGGGGCAGGGGATCGCCAGCTGTGGCGTGCATAAGAATCACTGAACAAGCTTGCTGACAATGCACGTTGCAAGCGCACCTCAAGCCTAGATCTTGGTTTCCAGCAGTTCCCAATAAGTAGAATCAGGGCTCCTTGGAGAAATGGCTTATTATAGGACAAAGGGCAGGAAGATACAAGATAATCCTGGACCACCTTATAGTGCCAGAAAGTAAGGAAATACTAAAAATAAAATAATAAAAAGGCAAAGCCCAGGTAGGTAGCTCATGCCTGTAATCCCAGCACTTTGGGAGGCTGAGGCAAGAAGATTGCTGGAGCCCAGAAGTTTGAGGCCAGCCTGGGCAGCATCGGGAGACCCTGCTCTACAAAAAAAGATAAATAAACAAAATTAGCTGGGCATGGTGGTGTGCATCTGTTCCAGCTCCTCAGGAGGCTGAGGGGGGATCTCTTGAGCCAAAGAGGTCAAGGCTGCAGTGAGCTATGATCACACCAGCCTGGGAATATCCAGTAATCAGTTCCTGTCCCAGTGTGGCATAGAAGGGGAGGAGAAATTATCTGGGATTAAAAGACAGTTTAGATGATTGGTGCAGTAATTTGCCAACAACTGTTTGAATATGTAGCAGAATCTCTTTTGATTTGTTTTATGATCATTGAGACTGCTCTTGGAAGCAGCGATATTAAAATGTAGAATGGGTTGGGCATGGTGGCTCACACCTATAATCCCAGCACTTTGGGAGGCCAAGGCAGGTGGATCACTTGAGCTAAGGAGTTCAAGACCAGCCTGGCTGGCCAACATGGTGAAACTCTGTCTCTACTAAAAATACAAAATTAGCCAGGCATGGTGGCATGCACCGGTAATCCCAGCTACTCTGGAAGCTGAGGCAGGAGAATCGCTTGAACTTGGGAGATGGAGATTGCAGTGAGCCAGGATTGTACCACTGCACTCTAGCCTGGGCGACAAAGTGAGACTATGTCTCAAAATAAAATAAAATAAAATAATGAAACCCAATGTAGAATGGCCAGTGAGGCTTAGAGCAAATGTCCACAATGCCAGGAGAGGTCCTGGAGGCTCCTGGGTAGCCTGGTATTACCGGTTTGGTTGCTGGACTTGGGAGAGAGGGGAAGAATCTCAGGATCTCTCAGGCTGGCGCAGCTGGGAGGGAGGGGCAGCACTTCAGGGGCTGAGGAGCTCAGGACAAGGGCTGCTTACCACCCATGAGAGCCTTTCAGTGTGTGGGCAGCAGATGTGGCAGCCATGCTCCCAGGCACACTGCCAGCTCTGGGGAAAGCCAACTTCAGCTGAGGACACTTCACAACGCTGTCCCACAGCTCCTGTGACCCTCTTCCCTTTTGCTTTTCTGCATCCATTTTTCATCCTTTCCTTGTTCCCAAAGGCTGCTTTATTTCTTCTCTGGATAAAGAAGAAATGTCTTCACTAAGATATGAGGATCCAGTGCTGTCATTCTAGACATACTTGCATCTTAAAAGAGGATGTCTCCTGCTAAGGCAGGAGAATCGCTTGAACCTGGCAGGTCGCAGTGAGCTGAGATTGTGCCACTGCACTCCTCCAGCCTGGGTGACAGAGTGAGACTCCATCTCAAAAAAAAAAAAGAAAATGTCTAGAAACAGGCTTGGTCCTGAAACTCATGGTGAGTGGTGGAATTTCAGACAGGGGTTGGAACCTTCTCAATTCTCTTCCAAACATGCTGAGCAAGGGCCCTGTGAGATCTGCCTTGCTCAGGACAATGCTGTTACCAACTAAAATGCCACATTTCTGTACTTATGGTGTCTGATGGATGGTGCCTCTGTTACACATTTCGAATATCATCAGGTACAAACCCTTGTTTGTTTCCCCCGCTCCCTTCTAGGACACCTAACAGCGGCCTTCAGTGGGCTTCAGACTTGACATTAGATGGCTTCAGGCTTGAAATGAATGAGATGGAGACAAAAAGCTAAGTATCTCCAGACATTCCAGCCACATATGGCTAGTTGAAATCTGTTCTTGGGTATTTCCACCATAAGGTATCCTCTTGGGCCTAAGAGACCAGCCTTCGGCAAGTAAGCCACAGAACGTCCATAGTGATATGAAAAATCCTCAATCTCATTGTGATCAAATAAATGCAAATTCCAACAATCACACACATCACTTTTCTATGAGACAGTAAAAAAATAAGGCCAGGCAAAGTGGCTCGCAGCTGTAATCTCAGCACTTTGAGAGGCCAAGGTGGGAGGATTGCTGGAGGTCAAAAGTTTGAGACCAGCCTACACAAAAAAGTAAGACTGCATCTCTAAAAAAAAAAAAAATTGCCAGGCGCAGTGGCTCAAGCCTGTAATCCCAGCACTTTGGGAGGCCGAGGCGGGTGGATCACGAGGTCAAGAGATCGAGACCATCCTGGTCAACATGGTGAAACCCCGTCTCTACTAAAACTACAAAACATTAGCTGGGCATGGTGGCGCGTGTCTGTAGTCCCAGCTACTCAGGAGGCTGAGGCAGGAGAATTGCCTGAACCCAGGAGGCGGAGGTTGCGGTGAGCCGAGATCGCGCCATTGCACTCCAGCCTGGGTAACAAGAGTGAAACTCCGTCTCAAAAAAAAAAAAAAAAAAAAAATTTAGTCTGGGCTCGGTGGCTCACAAGGCCAGGAGTTTGAGATTGGCCTGGTTAACATGGCGAAACCTTGTCTCTACTAGAAATACAAAAATTAGCTGGCTGTGGTGGCACACACCAGTAGTTCCAGCTACTTGGGAGGCTGAGGCAGGAGAATCACTTGAACCCAGGAGGTGAAGGTTGCAGTGAGCCGAGATCATACCATTGAACTGCAGCCTGGGCAACAGAGCAAGATTGTGTCTCAAAAAATTTTTTTAAAAGAAAGAGTGGGTGCTTGGATAGTTCTTACATGCACTAGCAGACAAAAGAGACATGGATCAGATGGGAAATATATGTTTCCTGATGGTGACCAACTGGTTTTCACTCTCAAATGCACACGGGAAATAACAAATTGCTTTTCAATATTCCTATTGAAGTTCAGTTTTTCATATTTACTCTAAATTTGAATAATTGAAAGAATTTATTCTGTAACAAAGCAGGGCTCTCCATATGCTGTTTACACAGACATTCCTAAATCATATTTTATTTCTAATCATCCCACAATCTAATTTCCTTACAGCCTGTCAGTGATTCGCCTTCTCCAGTTCCCACTGGGAGCTGAGCTTAAATTGGGTGTCCTCACAAAGAAAACAGCACACACGGTAACACTAGATTTAGGAAAACATGTGCTTACCAGAATGACAAGAGAGGGACTCTGTTATTTCTTGCTTACTAAAGCCCTAACCAGAATTTGCAAAAATAAGGACTGTGTCTCTTTGCTGCCCTCAGCTGGTACTGAAAGATGGTGCTGTCTTGAAATAAGTCTGCCCAGTCAACGCTCACTCCAAATGAGGCAAAATTATCTAAAAATGTCCCTATAGCTTGAAGGAGGTTAGGCTTCATTCATAAATGTGAAAGGTTTCCAGCAGCCCTATCCAATAAGAAACATCAAATGGGCAGGGCATGGTGGCTCACACCTGGAATCCCAGCACTTTGGGAGGCTGAGGTGGGCAGATCACTAAGTCAAGAGATTGAGACCATCCTGGCCAACATGGTGAAACCCCGTCTCTACTGAAAATACAAAAATTAGCTGGGCATGGTGGCACACATCTGTAGTCCTGGCTACTTGGGAGGCTGAGACAGAAGAATCGCTTGAACCTGGGAGGTGGAGATTGCAGTGAGCCAAGATGGGGCCACTGCACTCCAGCCTGGTGACAGTGTCAGACTCCATCTCAAAAAACAAAAACAAAAAAACATCAAATGAAGTCACCCTCATCTCCATTAAAAAACTTTTTTTTTAAATTGTATTTTTGATATAGGATCTCACTGTCATCTGGGCTAGAGTGCAGTGGCATGATCTCGGCTCACTGCAACTTCTGCCTCCCAGGTTCAAGTGATTCTTCTGCCTCAGGCTCCTGAGTAGCTGGGATAACAGGCGCAGTGCCACCATGCTTGGCTATTTTTTTGTATTTTTGGTAGAAATGGGGTTTCACCATGTTGGCCAGGCTGGTCTCAAACTCCTGATCTCAAGTGATCCAATGGCCTCAGCCTCCCAAAGTTCTAGGATCACAGGCATGAGTCATCATGCCCCGCCCTTGTCTTTATTCTTCAGGAACAGGGTAAAGGACTAGAAAGACCAAGTCACCCTGCTTGTTAAGGGGGTGGCTGGGTTGAAGAAATCATAGAAGAAAGTCCTTGTCCGAGCAGGAATATTCACCCTTATTTGGATTCCATGACGCCCTTGGTATGCCCTTCACTAAACGTTTATGTATTATACATTGTACTAGATTTTTTTGGGAAAAAAATCTCTTATGACATAAAATTGGTAGGGAGTGGGTTTACCAGAAAGGGGATATAAAACACACCCTGAGCTCCAAATCATTCACTTCTGCCTGGGTAAAGAGCTAATTGAAAGAAAGACACTGATTTAACAGTTCAATTATACACCAATCCTCTTTAATGGATGCAACCCTAAATTAATTTTCCTTAAACAGTAGTATTTCACTTTTACTGTGCTTTTGTTTTTATTTTTTTCACTTTTACTGTTTTTATTTCCATTAAAGCAACACCATTGTAGAGCAAAACTAATTCTATGCACTTAGTACCTGATACATGTTTTCTGATTTTAACAAGTGATAGAAAAGGTTACATTAACTCATTAAGAAACATTTTCCTTAGACACTTTGTTTGGTTTTGGTTTTCCATTAAAAGAGTTATAGCAGAGGGCTATTTCAAAGATTGGTTCTTTCTCCTTTCACAAGTCGAGCTCGAAACATCCAAATATCCTGGAAATGATACCAAACAGTGAGTTTATGGAATACTTCAGTCTGCCTTCAATTTACCTTCAATTTCACCATAAGACAAAGTCAATTTCTAGCCTCTATGAAAGGATAAATAGGGAAAATAATCCCTGCAAATGATTAGTAAACAAAATAACTCAAATTAATCTACTTAATCAACTATTTAAAAAAAAAAAATTGAGACACAGTCTCACTCCATTTTCCAGGCTGGAGGGCAGTGGCACGATCTTGGCTCACTGCAACATCCACCTCCCGGGTTCAAGCAATTCTGGTGCCTCAGCCTCCTCAGTAGCTGGAATTATAGGTGTGTGCCACCACGGCCGGCTAATTTTTGTATTTTTAGTAGAGACAGGGTTTCACTATGTTGGCCAGGCTGGTCTCGAACTCCTGGCCTCAAGTGATCTGTCTGCCTTGGCCTCCCAAAGCCTCCCAAGAGCTGGGATTACAGGCATGAGCCACCATTCCTGGCCTACTTAATCAACTTCTAAGAAAGCGTTAACTAAATTAAGTGTGGGTCCACCAGCTGTCAGCCCTGTTTTATTCAGGATACTTGTTAGTGCCAGGTAACATAACCGGGTCAATGTCATGTCTGGTTACAGAACAAACAATTCCCTGCCATTTTTCTGCTTTTTTTTTTGAGATGGAGTTTTGCTCTTGTTGCCCAGGCTGGAGTGCAATGGTGCGATCGTGGCTAACTGTAACCTCCACCTCCCGGTTTCAAGAGATTCTTTTGCCTCAGCCTTCCAATTAGCTGGGATTACAGGTGTGTGCCACCACACTTGGCTAATTTTGTATTTTTAGTAGAAACAGTTTCACCATGTTGGTCAGGCTGGTCTCAGACTCCTAACATCAGGTGATCAGCCCACCTCAACCTCCCAAAGTGTTGGGATTACAGGTGTGAGCCACCACACCTGGCCTGCTTACTCTTATGTTACTTGTCTGAGCCATTTTGAGTGTTCTACTCCTGATTAGGTGATAATAGTGAACATGGTGTAAAGGATTACTGCTTTGTTTGGTGGTTATTTTTTTCCCCCATTTGCTCCTTTTTTTTTTTGAGACAAAATTTTTTGCTCTTGTTGCCCAGGCTGGAGTGCAATGGTGCAATCTCGTCTCACTGCAACCTCTGTCTCCAGGGTTCAAGCGATTCTCCTGCCTCAGCCTCCCAAGTAGCTGGCATTACAGGCATGTGCCACCACACCCAGCTAATTTTTGTATTTTTAGAAGAGACAGGGTTTCACCATGTTGGTCAAGATGGTCTGGAACTCCTGACCTCAGGTGATCCGCCTGCCTCAGCCTCTCAAAGTGCTGGGATTACAGGCGTGAACCACCATGCCCGGCTCCCATTTTGGTCTTCATAAAATAATTTAGATGTTCTTATTTCTTGATTCTTGTTTATTTTCAGCAAACAGCAAGGAATGGTGGAAAAAGTTATTTTCAAATTTGACCTGACTCTGAAATCTAGCTTTGTCATTTAGGTAACTTAGATCAACCTCTGGGACTTGTTTTCTTGTCATTGACAGCATGGAGCATACACTGGCTGCCCCACTGGGTTTTGGTGAAGAAAATAAGAAAATGAATATGTGCCAGGCACATTGGCTCAGGCCTGTAATCCCAGCATTCTGGGAGGCTGGGTGGGTAGATCACAAGGTCAAGAGTTTGAGACCAGCCTGGCCAACATGGCAAAACCCATATCTACTAAGAATACAAAAATTAGCCGGGCATGGTGGCACGAGCCTGTAATTCCAGCTACTCAGGAGGCTGAGGCAGGAGAATTCCTTAAACCCGGAGGCAGAGGTTGTAGTGAGCCGAGATTGCGCCACTGCACTCCAACCTGGGTGACAGAGCAAGACTCTGTCTCAAAAAAAATAAAATGAAAATGAATGTACTTTTGTACTTGACAAAGAATTATGTAGCAGAAGTTAGTATTGTTATTCTACTTATAACTTACAGATTAATTAAACTAAACATGGGAGGTATTTATTTAGCAGAACCTTGACAAACCTCAAACATAATATATATGTATTCTTTCTCCCTTAAAATTTAGGATGTTAGATCAAAGCTCCAGCTGACAACATGTATAGGCATTGTAGGTACTGAACAAAAAAGAGAGGAAGGACAAGAATTTCTAGGACCTGCAAATGCAAAATCAGAGCATTTTCAGAGATGGGACATATTTCCGGGTTCTAAAGGGAGAAGCAGGATCCTGAGCTGGGCGGGGATTTCAGATGATTCCCGAAGGCACGGCAGCACGGCACCAGTGCACAGAGACCTACGACATGCTGAGGAGACCACAGCTGTCACTGCTCTCAGTCTATCTGGGGGCACGCATGCATTTATGATGATCTCATACAAACTTTAACAGTAAAATCAGCTTCTCCCCTTTGCTGATGTTCTTGGTTAAAAAAACAAATGAAATACAAAAAAAGTAGGATCAGCTTCTTGGTTCAGAGGTTAAAATGTTCATATCCTATGAAGTAAATATGCTTGTTTATTTGCCTTGATTGATAATTTGTCTATTAATTATCAGAAGTACTAAATATCGATGGGGGTTAAAAACAAATAATTTGAGCCTTAGTAACATAGTGAGACCCTATCTCTACCAAAAAAAAAAAAAAAATTAGCCAGAGCATACTGGTGTATACCTGCAGTGTCAGCTGCTCGGGAGGCTGAGGCAAGAGGATGCTTGAGCCCAGGAGGTTAAGGCTGCAGTGAGCTGTGGTCACGCCACTGCACTCCACCCTGGATCACTGAGTGTGACCCTGTCTTCCAAACTAAAGAGTTAATTAATTAAATTTAAGTAATTTACAAGTGATGAATATTAACTAGAACAGTATATGAAATATTGTCAAATGCCTGTTATTGATAAACGTTAGTGATCTTAAACTTCTGCTACATGCAAATTAGGCCTCTCATAAAACTCCAGTTACAAATTGACCAAAACAAAACTTGCTCAAGAATTGCTCTCTGGGTGTCTTCCTGGATTTCCTAATGTGTAAATACTCTATCCTATATGAATAAACAGGCCGATGATTGAGATCCCAAATCTATAACTTTCCTTCTTTCCCTTCAGAAGGCTTTTTTTTTTTTTTTTTTTTGAGACAGGCTCTCGCTCTGTCACCCGGGCTGGAGTGTAGTGGTACAATCACAGCTCACAGCTGCCTCGGCCTTAAGCTCAAGTGAGCCTTTCAACTCAGACTTCTGAATAGCTAGAACTACAGCTATGCTCCACCTCACCTAATTTTTATTATTATTATTATTATTTTTTTTTTTTGGAGACGGAGTTTCGCTCTTGTTACCCAGGCTGGAGTGCAATGGTGCGATCTCGGCTCACTGCAACCTCCGCCTCCTGGGTTCAGGCAATTCTCCTGCCTCTGCCTCCTGAGTAGCTGGGATTACAGGCACACGCCACCATGCCCAGCTAATTTTTTGTATTTTTAGTAGAGACGGGGTTTCACCGTGTTGACCAGGATGGTCTCCATCTCTTGACCTCGTGATCCACCCGCCTCGGCCTCCCAAAGTGCTGGGATTACAGGCTTAAGCCACTGCGCCCGGCCAATTTTTATTATTAATTAATTTTTTTGAGACAGTTTTGCTCTTGTTGCCCAGGCTGGAGTACAATGTCATGATCTCGGCTCACTGCAACCTCAGCCTCCTGGGTTCAAGCGATTCTTCTGCCTCAGCCTCCCAAGTAGCGGGATCACAGGCATGCGCCACCATGCCTGGCTAATTCTGTATTTTTAGTAGAGACAGGGTTCCTCCATGTTGATCAGGCTCGTCTCGAACTCCTGACCTCAGGTGATCCACCCCGCTCAGCCTCCCAAAGTGCTGGGATTATAGGTGTGAGCCACTGCGCCCAGTGTATTTTTATTTCCTTTTTTAGTAGAGATGGAGTCTCACTGTGTTTCTCAGGCTGGTCTCCAACTCCCGGTCTCAAGCGATTCTCCTGCACTGACTTCCCAAAGTTTAGGAATTACAGGCGTGAGCCACCATGCCCAGCCAGAAGGTAATATTTTGTCTTTCATTTTCTCTCATCTAAATCTGTATTTTTTTCCCCTTCCCTGTCCTGTGTGAAACAGGATGGCCTGCACACCTTTGAACAGCACAAAGACATAAAAAAGCAGCTGGAAGTTCTCAAGCCTCCAGCACAGAAGCACGAGTGTGAATGGAAATTCCATTGTCATTTTTGGTCGGGGCTCAGTGATGTCCCTAAAATAAACTCTAAACCCAAGCACTCTATCCTTTCAAGTAAATTAGGTATGAGAATTATGAAGCACCTGAAGAAAAGAAGAACCTGAGAGTTTTACCTTGCTATTACAGACAAACATACCTTCAAGTCCACGGTATTTGCAATGCCATAGAGTTTATTTGCTAATCCTCCCACTTCCTTCTCAATGTTTTCTTGACTGGTGCCCTTCACACTGATGTAGTGGCAATCAGCACTGGCGAAGTGGCAGGAAATTGCCTGTGCAAAGTGAACAAATTGATGTTGGAGAAAACCATCCCATGAATACCAGCAACCAAGCAGAGAGTCTTTCTTTTAGAAAGTCAATTATTTCACTCTGTGTTTGATTTCTAAATGGAAAGTCAGGTCCACTGTGTCCAGCATCACTCTCTTTGGAGCTAAGCCTCTTTTTGTTTCCAGCTAAAAGTTAATTGAGAAATTTCAAAAGATGTTAACCAGACGTGACATTTATTGTCAAAAGGGATCTATGGGAGAGGGAGTGGAATTATGTTAGCAAGAGGTCTTTAGTTTTTTTTTAGCATTTGATTTTCCTAATGAATGGATATCCCAGAGTCTTAAAAAGGACCGCATTCAATGGCAGTTTATCTCGAAAGTTAGTTACCGGTCCAATTTGGGATGGACTGTTATTTCAGTGGCAATAGATTATGAAAAGAACCAAAAATACCTTCAGAAAGAAAATAATGCAGACACCTTCTCTCCAATCAAAAGGACATTTAAAGGCCAATACCACTGACATATTATCCCTCTTGTTTCCTTCTGAGGGTAAGGATGAAATTACTGGGTTCTTCCCATTTTAGAAAAAGTTACAAACAGAGCTAAGCTTCAAAGCAATCATTAAAGCTTACCTTTTTTTGTCACAAGTTAATAATCTTAAGGTGATCACACTTGTCAGAAGGACTTTCTATTTTGCCCCAAACAACAAATTTCTAGGGAGTGGAGTCACAGACTCCATTGCCTCTGTAAGCCCTGGTGCCATACAGTACTGTAACAGAGTCCAAAGCGAAGGGGAAAATGTGCACCCCTGCATCTTTATCTTCTTGTAGTTACAGCAATATTTTTCCAGAACATTAAAGTCATTAAGCCCAGGAATGGTGGCTCATGCCTATAATTCTAGTACTCTGGGAAGCCAAGGCAGGAGGATCACTTGAGGCCAAGAGTTCAAGACCAGCCTGGGCAACATAGCATGCCCATGTCTGTATAAAAAATAAAAAAGGGCCGGGCGCAGTGGCTCAAGCCTGTAATCCCAGCACTTTGGGAGGCCGAGGCGGGTGGATCACGAGGTCAAGAGATCGAGATCATCCTGGTCAACATGGTGAAACCCCATCTCTACTAAAAATATAAAAAATTAGGTGGGTATGGTGACGCATGCCTGTAATCCCAGCTACTCAGGAGGCTGAGGCAGGAGAATTGCCTGAACCCAGGAGGCGGAGGTTGCGGTGAGCCGAGATCGTGCCATTGCACTCCAGCCTGGGTAACAAAAGTGAAACTCCGTCCCAAAATAAATAAATAAATAAATAAATAAATAATAAAATAAAATAAAATTAGCCAGGTGTGGTGGTGTGTGCCTGTAGTCCCAGCTACTCAAGAGGCCGAGGCAGGAGGATGGCTTGAGCCTAGGAGTTCCAAGCCACAGTGAGCTATGATTGCGCCACTGCACTCCAGCCTGGGCAAAAGAGCAAGACGCTTTCTCAAATAAACACATAAATAAATCATAAACTTTTAAAAATAAAGGCATTAAAAAACATTGGGCCAGGCGAGGTGGCTTACATGTATCATCCTAGCACTTTGGGAGGCCGAGGCGAGAGGGTCACTTGACGCCAGGAGTTTGAGACCAGACTGGCCAACATGGGAAACCCTGTCTCTACCAAAAAATTCCAAAATCAGCCGGCTGTGGTGGCATGTGCCTATAGTCTCAGCTCCTTAGGCTGAGACAGAAGAATTGCTTAAACCCTGGAGGCTGAGGTTGCAGTGAGCTGAGACTGCACCACTGCACTCCAGCCTGGGCAAAAGAGCAAGGCTCCATCTCAAAAAACAAAAAAACTGCCAAGTCAATATATTAAAACTCACAACATGATTTGTGTCATTGTACCTGCCCCATCTCCCTGCACAGCTCTGAAGGTTGTGCTAGTGTGGGGTCTGACAGTGGCTTTTATTTAAACTTTTGGCATTGTACGCAGCCAATACACTGGGTATTTTGCATTAATTTTCATTTTTAAAAAATTTTGCATTAAAATATTAGTAAACTTGATTGCTGAGGGGTTCGTTTGTTTGTTTTTGAGAGAGTTTCACTCTTGTTGCCCAGGCTCAAGTACAATGGCGTGATCTTGGCTCACTGCAACCTCTGCCTCCCAGGTTCAAGCAAGTCTCCTACCTCAGCCTCCCAAGTAGCTGGGATTACAGGCATGTGCCACCACCTCCACTGACCAATTTTGTCTTTTAGTAAAGGTGGGGTTTATCCATGCTGGTCAGGCTGGTCTCGAACTCCCGACCTCAGGTGATCCACCCACCTCGGCATCCCAAAGTGCTGGGATTAGAGGTGTGAGCCACCGTGCCCAGCTGATTGCTGAGGTTTTTTTGGCATCCCGTTAAATTTTACCCCTGGGGAGAGTGCCCCAACTTGTCCCACCCTAATCCTGACCCCGATGAGGCTGATGAAAATATGAATGAATGGAAAATGAAACTTGGCCCCTAACCCATGGCCTGAGGAGGCAACCGTGATTTTTTTTTTTTAATAGTGGAGTTTCATCATGTTGCCCAGGCTAGTCTAGAATTCTTGGCCCAAGTGATCCTCCCACCTCAGCCTCCCAAAGTGCTGGGATTATAGGCATGGGCCACTGCGCCTAGATTTTAAGATCAATATTGACAAGGTTGGGTCAATACTGATCATGATCATGAGGTCACCTGGCTTCTTACTGATAAGAACACAAAAGTCCAAGGGAAGCAAATCTATTTCTGGTAAATAAATCGAACTAAAGTTCAGGTTGGTTAAAAGCCACAGATGGCCAGGCTCGGTGGCTCACGCCTGTAGGTGAGAGACCGAGACAAGTGGATCACAACGTTAGGAGATTGAGACCATCCTGGCCATGGTGAAATGTTATCACTACCAAAATACAAAAAATTAGTGGGCCGTGGCAGCACATGCCTGTAGTCCCAGCTACTCAGGAGGCTGAGGCAGGGGAATCGCTTGAACCCAGGAGGTGGAGGTTGCAGTGAGATGAGACCCTGCCACTGCACTGTAGCCTGGTGACAGAATGAGACCCGCTTTGACTTTTTTTTTGTTTGGTTTTTGAGACAAAGTCTCACTCTGTCACCCGGGCTGGAGTGCAGTGTCACAATCTCAGCTCATGGCGACCTCCACCTCCCGGGTTCAAGCGATTCCCCTGCCTCAGCCTCTTGAGTGGTTGGGACTACAGGCATGCACCACCACACCTGGCTAATTTTTGAACTTTTAGTAGAGACAGGGTTTCACCATGTGGTCAGGCTGGTCTCGAACTCCTAAGCTGGTGATCTGCCCACCTCGGCTTCCCAAAGTGCTGGGATTACAGGCGTGAGTGACTGCGCCTGACCAAAAGCCACAAATCTTTAAAATGTTAATGTAATTAAATTAAAATTTCATTTAATTAATTTGAATTAAATAAATTAAATACAATTTTTGGTTCTAACCCATGCTCTGCAGCAGGTGCAGCAATGTGAATGCTTACCTTCCGGAACCCCTGGGTTTTGTTCCGACCAGATCCATGGATGAGCAAAGGATGGAAGAAAACAGTGTCTCCCTTCTCCATCACCAGGTGCACCCGGGCGGTATTTTCCTCATAGTCCTGGATCCCGTGGAACATTTTGTTAACTCCCCCCTAGAATACAAAGTAAGCCAAGTCTACGTTTGAGGGAGTGCCATAATTGAAAACAGTGTCAATTGCTCAACAGGGAAAGCAAACATCAGGGAAAGAAAGCATTTCTTTCTCCCAAGAGAAAGAAATGTCTAATTTAAATGTCTAAATTAAATGCTTACTTTTTTTTTAGTATATAGAAGCCTCTCAGATATCTGGTTTGTAAGAGTCACATGTTGGCCGGGCATGGTGGCTCATGTCTATAATCTCAGCACTTTGGGAGGCCAATTTGGGAGAATTGCTTATGCTAAGGAGCTCAACATCAGCCTGGGAAACACGGCAAAACCCCATCTCTACAAAAACTGCAGAAGTTAGCTGGGTGTGGTGGTGTGAGCCTGTGGTCCCAGCTACTCAGGAGCTGAGGTGGGAGGATCGATTGAGCCAGGAGGGGGACGTTGCAGAGATCACACCACTGCCCTTCAGCCTGGACAACAGAGCAAAACCCTGTCTCAAAAAATAATAGATACTTAAGTCACCGATTTTTTTGGAGCAAATGAACGATGTGGACTTTCCACCTGCCCTTCATGACCGCATTGTACAGGAAGATCTAGCTTAGCTTTGCCTTTTGTAGTTGATGCAGCTGTCTCCTAGGCATTCCTATCCTGAATCTGTAAGTGTTCTCCTCCTCACCTAGATCTTTAAAAAGATCCTTCATCTCTTATCCAGGAGTGTCTCTGGAAAGTTAACTATTTTCCCAAAATAGGGGGAAGAAAATGCTCAATTTTTTTGAGCTCAAAAGCACTTATGTCACATCCAGAATAATGAAAGAATAGTAAATTAAAACGCTGTGTGTGTTTGTAACTATTTCCCAAATTAGTTACTGCTTTAGGTAATGGGGTTATGTCTTTATTAAAGAAATTGACATCAGAAGCACCTTGAGTCAGGGTGAAGGAAGCAGCCCATTCCTCTTCCTACCAGCATCCCCAGTTCCTTTTGGGAATGACTACATCCCTCTTAGACAGTGCTGAGACTCTGACCCAGAGCCCTGCTCTCCTGGCCAGGGTGAAGGCGTGGCCCACACTAAGCTAGTCACACCTCCCAGGCTGCATCTGAGCAGGGTATCTGAGGCTCTACGAGCTCCGGAAGCCCTGCAAACCGTTCCCTTCGCCTTCCGTCAGCCAAAGCGCACTGCAGTTGCTTGCACCAAACTTTACCTAAACCTTAGCTTCACTGATGAGTTTCACATGAAGTGGTTTTATATCAGGATCCAGACACTCACATATTTTCATTTGACACTAATTGTCGGTGCCAGAAATCTGAGACATTCTTTTATTATTATTATTATTATTATTATTGAGATGGAGTCTTGCTCCGTCGGCCAGGCTGGAGTGTACTGGTGCAATCTCAGCTCACTGCAACCTCCACCTCCCAGGTTCAAGTGATTCTCCTACCTCAGCCTCCCAAGTAGCTGAGACTACAGGAGCATGCCACCATGCCTAGCTAATCTTAGTATTTTTAGCAGAAACAGAGTTTCACCATGTTGGCCAGGCTGGTCTCAAACTCTTTACCTCAAGTGATCCACCCACCTAAGCCTCCCAAAGTGCTAGGATTACAGGCGTGAGTCACTGTGTCCAGCAGAGACAGGAGTTCTTAAAACCATGTTTTTTCCTTCCTACCGAATCACAACTCATTCTCCCTGCGTTAACAATGGGGGCTCATTCCATTCACAGCATCATGGGATTCTAAGATCTTTTCTTTTCTCTTTCTTTTTTTTTTTTTAGATGGAGTTTCACTCTTGTAGCCCAGGCTGGAGTGTAATGGCACAATCTTGGCTCACTGTAATGTCCGCCTCCTGGGTTCAAGCGATTCTCCTGTCTCAGCCTCCCTAGTAGCTGGGATTACAGGCATATGCCACCACACCCAGCTAATTTTTGTATTTTTAGTAGAGACGAGGTTTCTCCATGTTGGTCAGGGTGGTCTTGAACTCCCAACCTCAGATAATCCACCCACCTCAGCCTCCCAAAGTGCTGGAATTACAGGAGTGAGCCACCGCACCTGGCATGCTTTTTCTTTTGATATAGGAACTTGCTCTGTCACCCAGGCTGGAGTGCAGTAGCACCAGCATAGCTCACTGCAGCCTCAAACTCCTGGGCTCAAGTGATTCCCCTGCCTCAGCCTCCTGAATAGCTGGGACTACACACATACACCACCATGCCCAGCCAATTACTATTATTTTTAGAGATGGGACCTCACTATGTTGCCCAGGCTGGTCTTGAAGTCCTGGGCTCAAGGGATTCTCCCACCTTGGGTCCCACAGGATCTTTTTACCTTAGACCTAACATGTTACTAGTCATCTCACTGGTTTCTTTGCTTCTAGACTCCTATACCTCCAATGTGTCCTGCACCAGACCATGACATTATTGTCCTTGAAGAGCTCATCTGACCCCATCACTCATGAGCTGAAATGCATTGAATAGTTTCACACATCAACAGCTGAATGGATGAACATACCACGGCGCAGCCATGCAATGGAATTCTGCTCAGCAAAGCAAGGGCAAGAGCTGCGTCATACACAGCAGCATCAGTGAACCTCACAATCGCCACGTGGAGTGAAAGAAGCCAGACTGGAACAAAAAAATCTATACTATGTGATTCCATGTCTGTGACACTTTAGAAAACGCAAACTAGGCGGGGCGCTGTGGCTCACACCTGTACTGTAATCCCAGCACTTTGGGAGGCAGAGGTGGGCGGATTACAAGGCCCGGAGTTTGAGACCAGCTGACCAACATGGAGAAACCCCGTCTCTACCAAAAATACAAAATTAGCCGGGTGCGGTGGCACATGCCTGTAATCCCAGCTGCTCCAGAGGCTGAGGCAG